TACTGGAGAAATCACAAGGTTCCCCCTATAATCAGAAGGATCAACTGATGGATCTGGATAAGAAACTAGAACTTTTGAAGCTTGTGAATACCCAATAGAGATTATTTAGTGCTTATTGCAAACTCAGATTTTGACTTCTTTATGTAGGAGGCTTTGAATTTCAGGGCTAATGCAGAGTCATTAAACTCCTTTGGAGTGTTTCTAAACAAATTATCTTATTTGTCTGGTAGCATTTATTGAAGTTTAAATTGAAAAAAAATTAAAATACATTTATACTACCACTGGCCTATGGTAAGCTAACTATCAAAGTATAAATGTGCTAAGACTGTTTGACTGGGGTGTAGATCTACAATTTAAAAGGAGCCTTTTTCCTCATTTTTGATTATTTGCTTGAGAAGGTGTTTGGGAGCATTATCAAATAAGTTTTTTTTTCCCCCAAAGAACTATTATCTTAAACCTCTCTACACACAGCCATCTGTTACACAATAATATGATAAGGCCAAGCCACAAATCATGGTATGATTTCTGCTTCAAATTCTTTCTCTTGATGTAAGTGATATTATCTCCCACTTGTTTGGGAATGGGAAGCCCAGAATCAAACTCTTAAGGGCAAAAAATCTTACTAATTCATAGCCTCCTTTCTGAAGGATGTACCTAAACCCATTAGGGAGCTAGTTTAAATTTTTAAATGAAACCTATGCCAGTGTTTATACCAGTAAGTGCATTTTTTTTTCACACCCTTGGTTATTTTTGCTCTGTTCTTTTCCTCTTCTTTTAGCTTTTTTTGTCTCCTACATTACATATATTGTCTTACTTCCAATGTCTACCTTCATATCCACCTTCTGATAAGCACCTCTAGGTATCCTCCTGGTACAGTTTGCACAGAATTGGTCATATCAGACTTTGATTTCCTGAACCACACTCCCCTTTTCTCTATCAAAAACAATTTCTCTGGCTGTCTTAAGAGATTGGATAGTTAAAAAATGGAAAGACGTCTCTTCCCTACCCAAAAGCCGTTAGGTGACTGGAATAAAAACAGTCCCAATCAGGAAACTTGACTACAAGTATATACTCTTAAATGCTTAATCTATATATTTCTGCATATTCTTATCTTAAGAGGGAAGAGAGGGAGGGGCAAACTCGTAAGGAAAAGAGTGTGTAAGAAGAGACACAGCATTCCTGACTCGTTTGAACCGGGAGCAAAGTCTTTGGTGGCAAGTGTATCCCTTACTCTTGACACAGTGACTAACAGGATACAATCCTGTGCTATTCAGTGGTTTGCTGGTATTACCATTAGAATTAGAGTACCTAAAACTAACCTTTCCAGGAGCCCTGCCCTGCTGACATGTGGTACTTCATTAAATTATCTCTTAAAGCACATTCACCTGCTCCTAGAATTCAGCTGATGGTAGAGTCATTATATACTGGTTTCATCAGTGTTTGCCAGGTCTTTACTGAGCAGTCAGTATGCAGAAGAGGCCAGGCCTCCCCAACGGCTTCTTTTCTCATCAGTCCAACCTGGAAGTTGAAAGCAAATGTCCCAGTGATAACTGTAAATTTAAGAAGCGTGTACTTAATCTCAGTGGCCTCAGAAGAAGAGAACCTTCTTTTGTCATCCTCTCCAGACTAGCTGGTCAAAAGGATCTCAGACTGGGACCCTGACCACAGGCAGAAATTGTGGTCTCTTGGGACACAATTTATTCAGCTTTGCATACACTATCCTCTCTACCAACTTGCAAGATTACAAATACTTTGAAAATGTTACTCCAGTGGCCTCTTGGTTCAGTATTCTGTTGAAAGAGAGGGCATCATAATCCTCTGTATTTAATTCATCAAAGTAAATGTAAATAGATGTATTTGTTTAAAATTATGGGCAATGTTTTACTTCTTTTTTTTCCGTCAATACTTTGAAAACTCTTAAATGTAATTTAGATGGGTCAGACATGTAAAATGTTTCCTTCCAAGAGCAATGTTGGTGCCTTGTGTTAACTATGTATATGGTTTGTCCTATTTCAGCCATATTTTCAGAAGACAAAAACACCACAGAGCCTGCTTATAAGGTTAAAAATGCCCCATCCATTTACAACACTCCAGAGCCAATAACAATGCAAGAACCCTTGGTGGGCAGCCAAAAGAGAAAAGCAAGGAAAACCAAGATCACACACCTTGTCAGGACAGCAGATGGCCGGGTATCACCAGCAGGAGGTACTTTGGGTAAGATGAGGGCACAGTAGACAGGTTACCAGAGCAAGCAGCTGGCCATAAATGACTGTGAGCCACCTGTGGGTCCTCACTGAAAAATGCGTCCGTTCTGTGGGTTTGGTCACAGTAACATTGTCTCTCTCTGGGTCTCCTCAAGAATTGGTTTTCTACAGACTCCTAAGTGTACATGTTTTAGTCTGTATTTTAAAATCATAACTCTTTTTCCCAAGAGCTTATCTGGAATTCCTGGAAAGGAAAGGAAAATTTTAAGGCTCTCGGCAACTCCTTCCCTTTCTCAGCATGCCCAAAAACAGTCTTGATCTAGTAAATTTCCGAAGATCCGAGACTAAAAGTACTGGACGAATTTGTCTTTCTCTATGGCTCACTGTTCAGGTCACCACAAGCCAGATCATCTGGTATTCAAACCAGTGAATTGACCTGAGGAAGCACCCCGTACTTCCTGTTGTGCTGATTCAGACCACGGGGGGTGCCTGAGGGTGCTTCTGGATTTCTTAGTTCTCTGGGCTAATCCTTAACCAAACATCACCTTACAGTGAATGTCTCCATTTCCATTTGTGGCCTGTGGTCTGTTTGCTGTTCTGGGGCCTTCTGTGGAACGGCCTGCGTGGCCCTGGTTAAGGAGTGGTGTCAGAGAGTGATACCGGGCACCCCCCGCTCCAATATTATGGTGCTGCACCAATGGCATTAGTGGTCCTAGCTGTTTCCTTTCTGCCTTTCAGCACCTCCAGCATCTCATTCTATCTGCCCTGAAGGAAGTATTCCTTCCCCTTAGCCTAATCTGGTTTCCAGAAAAAGGTCAAATGTCCATAATGACTTTTATAAATAGGGAAAAAAAGTGTGTAAGTGAATGATTTTTGAGAGTGATATTTATAAATATCTGATTTAGGTTAATCTCATTATTCCTAGAGACTCATTGTATACTGAGAGAGAAGTCAGTTAGTGAATTCTGGGCACTTGTGTTTTGCATATGTAGATTGTTAGAACCTCAAAGCATATTAAATACCCCCCGTTTTGCCCTGTCACGTAAGAGGTGAAGCTCAAAGAGTTAGTTAGAATCTTGTTTATAAAGCAGCAGCCTACTAAGTGGGATGAGAACCGGAATCTAGTTCTCCTGATGTTCAGTCCAGCAGACGCTTGTCTCCTTCCCTTTCCACTTGGGATTCTGTTGTGACTTTCATATTACGTAAATTGTTGTAGCCTCATGTTTGCTTGTAGGAGTGGAAGATTTTCGAAAACATTCCCTTTTATGTTGAAAAGCACATAGCATTTTCATGCTCTGTGTGACATTTACAGCATTTTATCAATTTCCATAGTTAAAATGTTTTTAAAACCATGGTAAAGATTCCTCCTCCTTTGTAACAGCTGCATGATAAAGAAGGTGTACTCAGGTGTACTCATTTCTAACAGATGTATTGGCATTACATTTCAGCCACCTCTTCATAAATACCAGAGAGCCCTTGTCTTCCTTTCAGTGGGTCTTCAGAACAAAAATAACAGTTTAGGATCTCAGAGGGATAGATAAGCTCCTTGGGATTCGTGTAGGCCATCCTAGTATGGGTAACACAGCGTACCCAATGTCCCAGGTGCCATGGTGGGACATGCGGCGGCTTCATCAGAAGAGTTTGGTCAGTTGAGTTTTTAAGTGCCCTTGTGCAGCATCCACAGGCCCCTCTGCAGAAGTCCCTGGGGTTTTATTTTGTCCAAGGCCTGTTTTTCCCTCTCACTCCAACACTGACCTACTCTGACCTTGGATGAAACACGGTGCTTCTGCCCAGCGTCAGGGCTCAGTGCTGCCCATAGTTGCAATTGAGCATAATAAAAGAGTTTTATTTCTGTGGAAGGAAAGATTCTGTAAAAGCCTTAATATTGGGTGGATGACAAAAGCGAACAGTAAAGCATATTAGATCATTTCACATTGTCTGGCACTGAGTTTTCTCCGTGTCCCTTCTCCGGGGAGAACAGAGCGAGCCTCTCTCATGATGAATTTTCCTTTCGTCCAGATGACAAACCAAAGGAACAACTGCAGAGGAGTCTCCCTAAAGTTACCGAGACAGGCTGCAGTGACGAATGCTCACACCACGCGGAGACGCGGAGCAGCACCCCAGAGATGCCAGCCGTGTCCGCCTTCTTCAGCCTGGCGGCGCTGGCAGAGGTGGCCGCCATGGAAAATGTGCACAGGTTAGCGGTGGAGAACCTCTCCGGTGCCGGGCACCCCGTGCAGCTTCGCCCCTTTCACGGAACAGGGGTGGAGACACTGACATGGAAACCCGAATCGTCCTCTCTGACGTGATTTGTGGTATTGTTCACAATGTACTGGGTTCACGAGACTTGGTTCAGGAGCAGTTTTGTTTATGAGATGTCACCCAAGCGTGTATACTGTTCAGCAGTGTGGAGAAATACAGGGGAATCCAGCCAGCCCGGTGTTTCACTGTGACTGTAGTGGCTAAGCTTCCTTTCTAGAAGAAATCTGAGAGAGCAGAGAAGCTGCGTTATCTAATCATCATGCATGAGCTTTAGAGTTAGGACTCAGACCTGGGTTTGAGTCCTACTTCTGCCACCTGTGGACAGTAAAGCCTTGAGCAAGATCATTCACTTCTCTACCATCTGTTTTTTTCTTCGGTAAAATGGCTTTAAGAGGTTATCGTTCCACAGAGATGTTGTATAGAATCGATCTAATGTCCCAGTACCAGCATGTGGTAACTAACCCCCGATGAGGGTGGTGTTGGTGGCAGTGGTGGTACTAGTGGAAGAAAACAGTGTGATTCAGGAAGAAGCATCTCAGCATCTGACTCACTGCAAGGAGGCGGCCTGGATTTTTCCTCCTCTGTCTGTGTTTGCCGCAAAGTAATTTATTTCCTTGGGCCTCAGTTTCCTCCTCTTCCATTTAGCATAATGATATCCCTAAAGAATCATCAAGTTGTAAGGATCAGATGAGATCACAGAGGTGCAAGCCCTTTGAATTCAGTAAAGTTCGACAGAAAGTATATTAAGTTCTAAGTATGTAATTGGGTGTTCAGCTACGTAATGGATCCTTTGGGAAGGTTAAAAAAAAAGCATTTTGTGAATTCGGGTATTTCATAATTTTATTCAAAGTGGAATACCCACAGGTGCACTCCTCTTTTAGATTTTTCAGTCTTCAGTGTACAAAAGAACTTGAAGTCTAGCCCAACTTGTCTACCGACCTGTCAGGCCCCATTCTTCACATCCAGGGTTAGGAGGCCCCGACGTGAGCTTTGTTTGCCTCTTGCTCTTTACCTGTCGTATTACAGTTCTAGTGCTTCCTTACAAATAGCCTCTAGAAATTTCCAGGAAGTCAAATTCCTTTTCATGTGTACAGTGACATTGCCTAATAGCAAGTGAATGCTGACAGACATGGTTAAAACTGCTCCAGTCTCCGAGGGAGATAATATGCAGACACTTCTCCACTCGTGGGGTTTTACAGCCGAGTACAGAGGACAAACTCATAATGCTTGTAGAAAGAAATACATGCCTGAGTGTTATTAGGTGCCCTCGTAAATTGTCGAAACAAGAGATCACGTACGAATTCAGAGGGGGTCGTAATTGAGGGCTCAGAAAGGTCTGCCACACCATCACCCTTGCTGCTACCAGCCTCCCTTTCTGAGCATGACTGGTCATGCCTCTGCTCTGTAACCAGCTCCCCTTCTGTGACTTCCAGCTGCAGTAGCAGAAAGCCTCAACAGACTTTCCTGCCCTGTCACCACCTCCTTTCTCCCTGCCCTGCAGTCACATAGAATCGCTTACTCCCATCCAGATAAGGCCGCTTCTTGCCTTTGTATGTCCCCCTCTTAGATGAACTGCTGCTGCTCCTTCAGCTCTGTCTCGTCCTTTGTCCTCTTCTCTCTCTTCCCCCGAAGTCCTGCACACTCCTGTGCACACTCTTCCTCCAGCTGCCACATTGCGTTGCAGTTAATTGTTGATACGTCCGTCTCCCCCAGTACGTTTTGAAAGCAAAGCACTGGTTTCATTCTTCATGCACCCAGCTTCCTCAGTTCCTGCTACATCCATGGATAAATGAACAAATGAGTGGGTGAATGAGTAAGTAAGAAGTTCTTGGGTATGACTGCCTAAGTTAGCTAGCAGGCATAGAAAAAATGGTGTGAGTAAAGGTTCTTCTTTTTTAACATCTCCCATTAGAAAGAATAATACTGCGTATTAGAATTTTACTATCAACCTAACAAATGGTTAGTGTTCTTAACATCTAGAAAGACAGTTTCCCCTGGAGAATCTCAGTTGTAATGTTAGCCCTTACCCGTTAAAGCAGAGCTGCCAGCCCTCCCTCCCCCCATAGGCTTAATGTAATTGTAGCTGGGTTGCACATCTGTTAATCATTGCTTAGGCATTGCTTGGTTCCTAATTTAGAGGGTGGTCAGCAGAGTTAGAAGTAGACAATGTACTACCTGCATTCTTGACAGAAGAAATCTTAACATTAGGTTCAGAAACTCAAAATAGGAAGTCATTTTTACAAAATGCAGGAAATAGGAAATTGGAGTAAACCTTTGTTGAGAGCCTGTTTATTTACTAGGGGTTTTATGAGGAGGAAAGCTCATTAAACTAACTCTTAAAAATCAACCCTGCCAAATGTCTCTTTTTAGTTCCATTTTAATGATGGTACAGGTGGTTAGTTATCTTGCCAAGAACAGACAGCTAAACTGAGTCAAGATCGGACTCCAAGTCTTTGAACACCAGTGTCATTGCCTTTGCTCTAATGTGCTGCTTAACAAGCGTCATCATGTCAGAGAGAGTCATGACGAATCCCACCTGCCCTTCCACTGGGAGGTGGAACCATCAGCTGGTTGCAGCCACATCATGCTCCTACCTTCTTTTCTTTTTCCGCTGAGTAAGCTTTCACCCCAGTTTCTCTCTCTCCCTCTTGCTCTCTTTTTAACATGGTACTTTACGTCTTTTCTTCCCCTATGTTTCCTTTTCCAATACTTACTAAAAGTTTTCTGGCTTTGTGTAATATTGTTACATACTCAATCTTAAAAGTGAAGAATAGCACTTTACTTTCATCTTTCTTGAGCAAAGAGTTGCACATATTGAACAGTTGGTTCTTACAGCATCCCCACATGAATAGACAGATTAATCCAGAGGTTTGATTAAAACACATGTTTTGTTTTTCTAAATTCCTTAATATCTTAAGCCAAGTGATTATTGGATCACCATATGTTGTAATTTATCTATATTTTTTTCTTTCTTGTGCATCAAGGGAAGGAAACTTAGATATAGATACGGGGCAGACACAATTTGAATTTTAAAATAACTCCTTTTCCTTCACATAATCTGAAGAAGGTACTGTATTGAAACGTCAGACTGGTAAAGACATTGCTGCTGTCTTCCATATTGTCAGCACAGTGCTGTAGCCTGCAGACCACCATAGGCCAGAGTGTGCATTGCTGAAGCTTGGTAAGCCTGTTAGAAAATGGCAAGGAGGTGCCCAATCATCTTTCTAGAATGAGAAGCTCTATAGAACCTATCAAGAAGTTTTCTTATAACCGTGAAGTAAGCCATATTTTTTTCTACTCATTAAACAAAAATTCTGAATGAAAAATAAGCTGTATTTGGTATAGGTCCAGACCAAACGATAAGCATTTCCATGAAGTTTTTAATCTTCTCTGGAGTTCTCTCTCTGTATGTGTTGATTTTGGCCCAAGTTGACTGGATTTTCTCACACACTCAGAGCTGGTACCTGCCTTCTTCCCTCTACACTCTTTCTCCATATGCCTGTGAGACTTTTCTTTAGTTAGGAGGGTTTCACTGCTTTTATTCTTTTTTTTTTTTTTTTTCAGTCACAGTTCACCTCTCTTTCTCTGCAGAGGCCATTGCTTTTGTTGGCCTTAGGTTTGGAAATCGGGTTTATTATTACATAGCTCAAGAAATGAACCTGAAGGTTATCAATTAGTATAGGAGAGTCTTCCCCTTGGTCAAGTCAAGGAAGGGAACCTGTCATTTTTTATTATCAGTAGAGCCAAAGGAAGATTGTTGTCTTAGAACCGTAGCCCTTGACTGAGAGTTTCCTACTTCTTAGAGAATTTACCCGAATCTATTCGTTCTTAGGTTTTGTCTCTACAAAATGGAGGTGGTGGTTTAGGGGCAGAGTATTTTATTGAGTTGTGTGAGAGGAATTGAGATAAGAAATCCTTAAAAAAGAAACATAGGGAAGCTTTAAGAATAAGAAGAGTTTTAATTAAACGGCATAAGCAGTCAGTCAGCAGTAGCTGTTAAACAAGAATATTGGGAAGCTTTTGTTGGTCATTCGTCTTCCTCTCCTGTTTCTGATCACATACTCTGAATAAGTGCTTTCTGTCTTTGTTTCTTCTTCTTCTTTTACAGAGGTCAGAGGTCAACTCCGCTCACCCATGACGGACAGCCAAAAGAAATGCCACAGGCTCCTGTACTTATTTCCTGCGCTGACCAGTGAAGCGCCCTTTAATTGTAAAACCTTGTGCTTTACCTACTACCCTAGCCTTGTCTTTACCGAGGGATGCTAGTGAGTCCATGTGGTGGAAAATACAGACTGCAAACAAGTGCTTGTTGCCCTACACGGCCCAGATTGACTTGAAGCAGAAGTTGGCGTCCTGGGCCAGTTTGTTCTTTCAAAACCCAGAGTCTTTGAGGGTGATGTTGTCTGTCTGATAATGAGCAGAAACGGGATGATCCTAGAGCTTGCTTTCTATTGAAGGCTTTTGATGGTAACAGGTGGTAACTTGGTAAGGGGCTGCCTTTACTGTAGCTCATCCAGCATCTCTTTTACCAACCAGAGAGTGTGAAACTAGTTTCGTATATTACCTAGTTATTCTTTCAAAACAAAAACAAAAACAAACAAAAAAACAAAAACAAAAACTGACGCACTGCACTAGTTATTATTAGATATTCTTAGTCTTTTTTTGTACATGGAGATTTAAGTTCTAAGATGGTTTATATAATAGGTTATACCTACATTTATATTGTAGAATAATATTAAAAAGCTTGTTCCGGACTCCCAAGCAGCACGGGCAGGCAGATGTACCATTGTTAGCGGTGTATGCTCGGCCTCGTGGTCCATATATTCTGCACTTTTATATTTGCCACCAGAGTGGTAGTTTGCTGGCAAAAGAGAGAGAGAGAGAGAGAGAGAGAGAGAGAGAGAGAGAGAGAGAGAGATGGAGGGAAAAAAAATTAAAATTCTTACAAGCTGAATTTTTTTCTTAGCCTTGAGTGACCAAGAAGAATTTGCTTGGGGCAAATTGTGGCAAATATTTTCCCAGACAGGGGAAGAGTCCTGCAGATTACTGATGTTTTCATGCCTTGAGGATTCTTTTATTTTTACACAAGGGTCTGAGTGACCAATGGATCGTTCATACAAACAAACAAACAAACAAAAAAGAAAAATATTATTCAGAAGTGACCTTAGTATTACTTCACTATTCTGAACACATTGAAGACACTCACTTCATGTGGACTTTGACCTACAGACCTTTTACATCCATCCCAGACAGACTGGACGGGTAGCAATTGCTATGCACAGCCTAATTGGCACTGCAGGTTTTTAGAGCCATTTTGCATTTTTGTTGTTAAGGAGATATTGAGTAAATGATGAGGGAGGTATGCCTGACCAGAGTGGGACTCTCAGTCATAGATCCACCTGCAAGTTTGTTTCTTTTTTGTGTTTTGTTGCTTTTGAGCATAAAACCAACCATACATATGCCAGTGCCAAGTGGATTAACTGGCTTTAGAACATTCAGCATATTGACTCAACCACCTGATGTTCACAGTGTCTTGTTTCTTAGCAACGGATGCAAAGTGATAAATCAAAATTAGTCGGAGGCTACAGATTTTACAGGGTATTTGTTCCATAGCACAAAGTATTTCCCCACTCTTGCATCACAGCACAAACTACCAAATTTTCATTATTGGATTCCAGCAATAATTTTTATTGGTTTTCAAACTGGCAGAATTTTGATAGTGATAGTTCGAGTTTGAAGCTTTTGAATTAGATCCCTAAATGGTGACAGTTTACAAGGTTTTATCTAGCTTTCTTATTTATACTTGACTGAATTATAATGTTGATTTTTTTTTCTAATCGTAATTTGACCTAATAGCCATACGAAAAATGACTCTATTAGTGCTGACTAGGTTTAGCTTTTCACGGTTGTAGATACTACTTCAGTTTCGGTGCTGGAAAAATAGGTACAACATACTAACAAAATTGAAAAAGAATATAGAGATTTTTTTTTTCAAAGCAGATAAAGAGGACAGCAAGGCATTAGAATTGTGTCCTCAAAAATGCATATTCATTATGGGCGTGGAGGAGGAAGGAATTAGTAAGCAAGGTTAATCAGAGGTTCAAGGTTAGCCCCATTCACATAGAAATAAATCAGGTGAGCAGCCCCAGATTTTAGTGTAATATTTTTACTATGATGCTGTTTTACTAATATTTTCTAAATTTCAAAACACAAAGTGTATGTTTGAAAATTGCCGGGTCCCAATGTTGGTGGCTGTTGGAGTTTTTGGACCACTTGCTAGTAGTGATTTAAAAATTATTAGCTAAAATCCAAAAAAGAAAATTAAAAATCAACAGCAGAAATTGTTTGGTGCAGAACATGCACCTTGACAATGGTACTAACTTGTTATTCTCTAGAACACGTTAGAATAGATCTATTTTTGCCAGAGCACCCTCCTTCAGTCCTCCGATTACATTTCACTAGAGTTCCTTAAGAGATTGCTGTATATTCATGGGACCTTTTTTAAAAAGAAGCAAAACAAAAGATTACTTTTTTCTATGTGATTAATATATCTTACTTGATCTGCTTTTCCTAAACCTCAGTGGCTTTTCCCTTAGGCGGGGAGGGGGGTAGTGGGAGGGCAACTTACTGGATATGACTGTTTTCAGATACTTAAAAAAAAAAACCTTTTTGTAGAAATGCTTAATTTTTAAGCGGTTAGGCACTGAGAGTAGCAGAAATCCTGCAAAGCTTTATAGTCCTTTAGACACTTGCCTTGTTGTTTCTCTGAGTGAAGTCTTGGTTTCAATAATAGTGCTTTTCTCATGCCCTGAATCCGCTGGAAAGGGGTGTTGGTATTTTCAGGTAACAACATTTGTTAGCACAAATATTTCAGATCAACATGTAGTGCCCCCCCCATTTGTCATTTTCATTTCACTTCTCTCATTCTTTTTATTTTGGAAAATCATATTGCTATGGTGTGTACCTTAATCTGCCAGCAAACACCATCCACACTAACATTTGTCCCACAAACATCCTCAAGAGAAAAAGTTGTTGCACCTTATGTATATCTCAAGCAAACCAAAATATGATGCTCTTCTGCTTTGTTTTATTCTAAATTGTTGTATCATATCTTTCTGAAACCATTCTGAATCTAGTTGAAATTATCAATATTTATGCTTTTAACCTTAATTTCTGGATTCAAACCTGTATATAAATCTTTTGAAAAAGTTTGTCCTAGCCCTTCTCTGTGATGCTGGAAGCGGATGATTTAGTCTCAGATGGAGACGCAGTACTGTTCCAGTTTTCTTTAGCCTTTTATTTATTTAGTTATTCTGGGTATTTTCCTATGTAATTTTGAAGTGTGTAGAGTATATTATAGTAACTGAAGCTGCAGCTCTAAGAAGCTGAGTGAAAGAAAAAAAATACTGTAAGACATCCTTTTTAAGTTTTTATTTGTTTGGGTAACTGTAATGAGATCAGGAAAAGGAAAAATGTCCCACAGCCACATTGAAGATACAGGTTCCTATCCCCAAATTAGGTTAGTTCCCAGATTTTAGATCAAAATTGTTAATTCATTAAAGCCCTTGTTAGAGGATATATCATATGGTTGTAATTCCGACAGTCTTTCTCCCACAAACATCAGACGTATATTTATTTAATTCTGTCAGGTGAGCTTTCTACCAGTGCCCCCTCAAAACCATCCCGAGATCATTCCCACGGTGTCACTGTTACTCTAGTTTCCGCCATTAAAACTGCTGCAGAGTAAAAAAGTAATGAAACACTATGAACAAAAAGGAGCATCTGAACTGCTCTGGTCGTATAGAATCCAACATGTGTAATCCCTGTCATTCTCTTATCAAGTCAGATGCTACTCTTCCTGAGTCATAGAAAATTTTGTTTGCACTCTGTAGTCTTTGGCTCATCGTATGGAAATGTTTGCACCTATGTAAAAATCTCAAGCAAATTATAAACCGATACAGAACTAGGAGTCAGCTGAAGAGTAAATATGACATGTTGTGTTTATACAGTGCCGGGGGCAGGGGTGGGGAATATCGAGTAACTCTGTTCCAAGTCTGGCATTTGGCATTAATGTGAAGCAGTGGGACCATGCTGCCTGCTAAACTACTGTATGAATCCTAAGTGTTCTGGAGACCAGCAGCTGGGGCTAGAGGCTGGAGGCCGGAGGCCAGCTTCTATACAACAAAGGGGAAGCGGAAGTCGTGCAAGGCCTGAGTCATCCTTTGTGAAGGGAAAGTCGGGGTGTACGTGATGCTGTGAGGAGGTTCACCTTTGATTGCACTGCTCCGCAGAGCCCTCAGAGAAGGCCAATTCTAATGGGCTACCTCGGCTTTAACAGTTAATTTCAGTGAGTCCTGTTTCAGAGGTTTGTCTTTTTTTTGCTTCTACCTTCAGTGCCACTATTTTCCACTGCAGTGTTTTGACTTCACAAACCGCCTTCTCCAGAGAGAACAATGTATTGCTGAAAATGGGCAGTAGAAGCAAATGCTCTTATTGCATTTGACCTATAAAGTATTTCAGAGTGACTGCTAGGTGGGAATTAAAATTTAGCTTTCCCCACATAGGACCTTGTTTTGCACCTTATAAAGAGTGTACTAATTGTTAATTATATGTTGCTTTTATTTATACAAGCATTCCCAAAGACTTAGATTTGGATTTTGTTTTTATTTGAGTTTTGGGATTTTTTTTTAAAGTGTCTTATTTAGATTGACTAACACATACTTATAATAAAAAAAAAACCAGTTGTTCAGTTCATCTTACCAGGTATGTCTGGTGACGTATTCGGGGTTTGATGGACTGCTCTACTTTCAGTTTGGAAGTGACGGCTAAGTTTATTATACCCAATATTAAATGACCTTGTCCTTTTCACTGGGGACATTATCTTCCTTACATTTCAGAGAAAAAGCAACAAAAGAGAGAACAATACAAATATATTTGACTCTCCTCATACACCTCCATCTGTTTGTACTACGCTTTCCTTAAAAAACATATGTATACATTTTCTTCACACATACAAAAAAAAATTTCCTCTCCTGGCCAAATTTTACTTGTGGTGGTATGATTTATACTAGTAACTGAAAGAGGAAACCTTGTACTTAAAAGTTCAATGACCGCTGTTTTCTGTTGCTGTCAGTGGTCAAAACTAATCCTGCCCTTAAATTGATTTTTATGCACAGAACTAGTTATTGTGAACATTACTACTCCTTCCAAAGATTTTCTAATAACTTAGGCCAGAACTGGTTACTGAGTAACAAGGACCTAATTCAATGCCTCCACACCCTCCCACCCACACTGCAAATCTTACCTCACAAGCTCTAACCTAAATCACAGAGGCGCATGCGTTTCATGGACTAGCAGTGACCTCCCTTTGCAGCCCCAGTGGGGCTGGTCACGAACCCCGACACCTCACATCAGTGCCTCGCTCCTAGCGGCAGACCTGGGGTGGAGGAGGTTTGGGATTTGGAGCTCAGCAATGTTTTTCTCATTTCATTAGCACTAAACGAGTTTCTTGCTCTCAGGAATTTGTCAAAAAAGAATAAAAACCACCTGAGATTCCACATACCAGATTATGAACTTTTCTTGTAGGTTTGAATTGCTTACTTATCTGTCATAAATTAACCATAGCTTCCTTTGACCACCAGGTCTTAAGTCTGTTGACAGTTTTCAGCATGACCGAATCGCTCATTTTTTGCTTTCCGAAATTGGCTTGGTTCTCTTTAGAGTTGGTGTAAACATGCCATGTAATAAGTGATTTCCACTTAATGGTACAACAGAATTATTGCTTTCTTAGATGTATGTGTAGTAAAAGTCAATATACACATTTATATAATTTCTTTCTTCAAAATCTTATACTTAATTTGATATTTCTAAAAATTGCACATGTAAGTCATGTGTATAACATGCTAAAGTACTTTAACTGTGATCTTAAAACTGAATAAAAATATTTAATAAAAATTTGAAATATTTTAAAGATATTATTCAAATATATTTCTTTCTGGTTCACGCTACTGGCCATAGAGTATGTGCCTTCAATATACCATATTTGCTAAAAACAGTGGGGAAAATACTTTAATCAAAGTAAGACATTTCAACTATTTCAGAATGTGCAGTGATGGTCTCTCCAAAACTTTGCCTGAGAATCACCATTGTCTGAGCAGCTTCAGTTACTCTTCCCCAGTGTGCGGAGCGGAAATCAGACTGACGAAAGACATGGAGTCTGCTGTGCAGAAGGAGCGCTTCCATGGGAAAGTGTGATCTGAGCATACCATCTTTCCCCAAACTATAATAAAAGTACGGAAATAGTATCGTTAAGACTATACTATAAACTCAGACCTCAAGTTTGCCGAGTATGATGTTCCAGAACCTTGGAATCTCGAATGTGTTATTTTAGCCTTTGGAATAGTACACAAGTGCGTGCCCGCATGCGCGCGTGCACACACACACACAGCATAGATACGTAGATAGTATAATTACATCACAGCCTTTGGAATTGCGCACACACATACACACTGTATAAATACATATATGGCATAATTACATCACAGCCTTTGCATTCAGACAGACTGGGCGCCAGAGCGTATAGCTCTATCTGTTTACTCCTGGGTTTTTTAACCTCTCTGAACTGTGTAGTGGTGGTTGATAACACCTCCTTAAATGATAAATGATGGTGGTGATAACACCTCCTTAACACCCCTGTGGGATGAAAAGAGAGTATGTATGAAAATACTGGCATAGGGCCTGCAATAGAAATGCTCATTAAATGGTAATTACTGACTTCATTATTTTTATTTCCACTATAAGGCTGGTATGTTAGTATATTAAAAAAAAATGGAAGTACAACTTCCTCTTCAAAATTAACTTGTAGGGGCCTGATGCCTTAGGGGTAAGCTGTTTCAGGAGATTTGATGATGTGGAAGACTCATTCATGGTAGGTTAAGTCCACATAGCTAACTCATACTTTGTATATGTAGCACTATAAGATTTTACTATAAAATCAGTCTGCCTAATGAATTACATCTTCTAATACTCCAGCACATTTCCTTTGAATTACTAAGGATACAGTGTGTTGTAGTGGGTAGGGTGGGCTCCTGCCAAAGGAAATAAATTCTGTTAGGGAAAAAGGTGACAGAAAATGCCAATGTGTGTGGTTTTATGGTCCTACATACACAGTTAACACCTGTCCTTTGGGGTAGAACATGAAATTTCTTAAAAGGAAAAAAATAAAATGGTTCTTATCTAAGTGAGCTAAATTAATACTACCGACACGATTCCGTACATACTGAACAAAGGTAAAATTGTTCATCAGAAACCTTTTCACCTTTTTGAAATTAAGGAAATTTTCAAATTATGGAAGGGTAGAGAGGCTAGCATACTGAACTCCAGGTAAACCTCACCCAGCTTCCGCAAGTATCTACATCTTAACTCCTGTTTCATCTGTATTTTACCCATTTTCCTCCGTTTCATCCCCTAACCCCAGATATGCATATCCCAGAAGTGTGATTTCATGTAAAAAAAAACAAAATTCAATACACATTCCTCACAATTCCAAAAATATGTTTGTTTCTTGTCCAAAGTGAAAAACCTATGAGCCACAGTAGTACCGGAGTGAAGATCATTTGGAATTAGAAAACGCTGTTCAAATTTGATATCTCTGTATCTTCCCTTTTTTCATTTAAAGATTCCAAACAGATTTAAACTAGATCAAAGACATGCTTTTCTTAGCATGTTACTTATTTAGGTCTTGCTTTCTATGTTTTTTTTTCTAGTTAATATCTAGCCCAAAGGCTGAAACTTGTATAACTTTATAGAAAACTTTATAAACTTGCTATGTCCTTCACACTTTTCCCTCCAACCGTGTTCCCCCTACATTTTCTCTCTCAGACTTGTACGAATGAAATCTGTTATTGTAGGGGAGAGGTAGAGACAAAATTTTTGAGTTCTGAAAGGCAGTTTGCGAAAGACTTAAAAAATCTGCAATCCTGGGTCAACAGGCCAGAAATTAAAGCATAAAATGAAATCCCTTGCTAGAAGAGAGAAAATGGTGACGCCTACTTGAAGGCTCATCTACTTGGAGATCCTCTACCCTAGGGAATTTCACAAAAGGTCATTTTGTCTCAGGATTGCGTACTGCAGTCAGAAGAGAAAATGTGGGGATTGAAAGTTTCTTGAGAATGAAGGGGCAGAAAGGGAAAGTTCATACAAACAGGTCTTTAAAGTTCAACGTCTAAAATTTAAAATGGTTTAAAAGCCAGCATGAAAATATTTCCGAGAAATATGCTCAAGTATAATTATTTTTTCTTGATCTTTTCTACTATCACTTATATCTGTGGTACTAATTATGAAAAACACATTAAACAGATACCAATTCACATCTTCCAGAAATAAAGAAATGAAAGCACTGAAAAAATATAAAAAAATATACTCAGTAGATACAAAAATAGGTAATAATTTGCCATCTATTTTGAAGCATTTGTTTGAAATACATTTAATAGAAAACCAATATTGATACAATTTTTTAGAAAATTTCCCTGCAAGATACATGATCTTTGAGATAAATACCGGAGAAACTTAGATGACCTTTTATAAAATTACTTTAAATTTTCATTTCTCCCATACTATATCTTGGCTTAGGTATTTACAGCAGTATATTAAAAACAAAAGTGAGATTCTGCACAAGTCCTCAAATATCTAAACCCTCCTTGTAAATAGAATATGAAGTATTTAACACACTGATGCTAGCCTCACCTGCATTAAACCTATATTGTTTATCAGTCAAAATCAAAACTGTATTGTTAGAACAAAGTGGCTTAAAAACAGTGCTTCAACCACTCCTCTGTTTTAAAACCCCTGAAAATTAGTTCACCTCACTTGCTTTGGCTCCAGAAGAGTTCTTCACCCAAACTACATGTCCATTAAAATGCTGTCATGCTCTTCCAACAATCCAGTTGTTTCAGGGATCTGCGGTGGATGCCTGCAACTGGACCTGCCAAGTACCAACGAGTCCGTCTTCCGAGGGTATGTAGTCTCATGGGGGCTGGAGCTGGTCCATTGAAATGCACTACAGATGAGACTGGGCATGGAAACCAGCGCCTGTCAGGAAGAAGCTACATATAAACTTGTGGAACTTGATAACCTAAATTTTGAAGAGTAAGAAAATGTTACTGTTCTACTTATGAAGAATAAAATTCTTTAAATTTCTCGGATCTTCAAGGATGACAAAAATGCGATAAAAAGCCTTTGGGGGAAGACCCGTGATGCAGTGTCTGTTTCTTTTATATGTGTCCTGGGGTATGGAACTTTCCGGCTCTGCCGATTCCAGGACTGACGTGGTTAGACAGCACATCGGCTACAGCCTTGGAAGGATGGTCTAAGGCTACCTGAAACCAGGAGGTCAAGCAGCACAATGTAAGCAGTTGGTCTTAGGGTTAGGGCGCTAATCCTGGGGCCAGACAGTGTGATTCCCTGACTTTCTTTTCCTTTTCCCTGGGCTGTATCCTCTCCTCACCGCAGTCCCAACCCTTGCATATTGCTGAAACAGCACCCCTTCCCACTTCCACCCCTCCACACACAAAAGCTGTAGTCCGATTTCACTTGGTTTTTCACGTTCTTCTCCACTGAGAACAGCTGTGAGGTTTTTTTATGGCTGGGTGAAAGACTCAAGAAACCCTTCCTCCAGGAAACTGTTGGGAAAGATTCTCATTTTTGAAGTGTGCTGCCACCATTTCAGTTTCCATCTCAGTTGATCATGTGAGTCTTTTGCTAATCCTCAGCCTTTAAAAAGGACTTTACTGCAGGACAAACCTATTCTTATCTATGACTCTTCAAGGATTACTTCCCGCGTATTGAAGGCCATGTATCTGCTTTTTAAATGAAATATTTACCTCAGTACGGCCAAATAAAAACCCCCATTTTAGGGACTGTTAGTTAAGGGAATTCTTTAACTTCAAAATCATCTGCTTAAGGAATCAAGATTATCTCTGGACTGTAATTCATGTATGAATTTGGAAAAGTTTTAGAAATTTTATTAAAGAGTTTAATTTGAAGTTCACCAGGTATCTGTCTGTGGCCCCCAGACTCGGTCAAGGGGATATGTGTTGCCAAAAGTCTTCTTTAGCCTTCCTCTCTTCATGTCCCAAAGATCTGACTTTAAATGAGTGGGTCACACATGAAACAACATTCCCGAGGACCCTGTGCATGCTGAGGACCGTGGCTGCAGCAACAGCGACAACAATGGTCTTCAAATGTCTCCACCGGCCCACCTGATGTAGTATTTGCAGTTCGAAGGGAAGGCAGAGGGGTTGGCTCTCTGAAGCCAGCCACAGTCCTCCCTAGAGACACCATTCAACCTGGAATCAGACCAAGATCTTTTTCTTCTATGCATGGGCATTTATCCATGTGAATTACTATTTCGGGGCTCCTCTTTCACTCCTAC